TATTTTACACATTTGAATAAAGTTGATCAGATATGTAGACCCTGAGGTTGAACTTTAAAGGCTGTGGCGCAGAGGCAGAGCAGGTCGTCCCCTAATCGTAAGGTTGTTGGTTCAATCCCCGGCTCCTAGTGCCACATGTTGAAGTATTCTTGAGCAAGATACTGAACCCCAAATTGCTCCTGATGCTGTGCATTGGTGTGTATGAATGCGTTAGTTTCTGTTCAGTGAATGTGTGTAAAAGGGTGAATGTAAAAGCGCTTTGAGTGGTCGGAAGACTAGCTATACAAGTCCATTTACATATAATAATATATATCATGACATCAACTTGTCAATCAATCTTCAACTTGTAGCAGAGCAGAGTAACAGAGTGAAGTTTCATTAGTTAGCTAGTTGCCAGCAGCATGGCTTAATATTGGAGCGTAACTGGAGTGTTTGTGGGGGCCGAGCCTCACTGATTAATGTACAAAAGCACAACTTTATCAGGAATTTGGGAGAAACTGGATCATATTTTATGGAACTGGACTCAGCAGCCTCCCAGTGAACATGGCTGGACCGGGACTGAACACAGCCTTTGAGACAGACAGAGGACATCTTAACGACAGCGTTACCAAGGAGATTTACAGTTTCCTGATGAACTTGTTGCTAAAAGTGCTAACAGCTGCAAATGGTAATCTTAGCTGCCATTAGCTAGTTTGCTTATGCAGCCCCAGGGTGGCAGGAGCCAAAACCGACAAAAAACCACCTCTGTACTGTATTCCCGTCAACAGTCCTCTGTCAGCATTAGATGCTGTATTTGGTCCTTGACTGGCTGTAGTTGTGAAAAGTCATATTGGTGTGATGTGATCATATGACTAAATGCATTTTTAAAAAACTTTATAACATCTGCAGGTACCACAAACACCAAGCTGGTCATCAGAGCAAAGATGGTCTTCAGTCAAAGTAAAATCAGTACAGGCACAGGTGGGCTAAACAAATCACACAAATTTTGCCAATTTCAACATTATCAGTAAACTTGTCAGTATTTATTTTACTGCTTCCTTAAAGTTGTGCTGTACAAGGGTTGTAACAAAATGGTGACAGATGTAGACCAAAGACTGTAGACAGTAAAAGAAGTGAGAGGGATTATTTACCTTAGAAAATGTACCTTAGAAAGGTTTGTTGTTAGTTGTTTGTAGCTGAGAAATGCATGACTGTGCATGTCAGAGTTCATGATATGTAAACGTACATTTCAATCCTTCAGAAGCTCATTAAAAGCAAAAATACTGAAAGAGCAGAAAACACATTTGTGTTGATCAGATTGTGAGTCAGGGTTTGAGAGTGTTGGAACTGAGCTGTTGTGTGGAACACATTTTAAAACGTTTTTATGGTAATAAATGATTCACTTACACACTTCACAAATTCATTATTGACAACGGTCAGTCCATCTTTTGGTCATTCAATTTTCTTTTCAGAAATGGTAATTAAAAAAAACAAAATACAAGGGATTGTTTGATTTGATTGAAAATACAACAATTAAGGAAATTATGAATGGTATAATGTAATTTGAGCTGACTTTCCCTCAAATGTTTTATTATAGTTTTATCAAATTAGGACCTATTTGGTGATTTCAGGCCTTGTTTTGCCTTGTCTAAAGTCATATCAGTGTGTGGTTCCCTTACATATACATTTTAGTCTGAGCTAAAGCAGCAGTGGCACACTGGCATGGCACTCTTGCCTTGTAAATCACCACATCCAGTCATCAGAATTTAGTTTTCTAGTGATTTTAAATGATAAACAAACCATTTTGAAAATCATCATCATACAATACACATTGGATTTCACTTTTAATTATTGTATTTTAAAAAGAAAATATTTTTTATCTGAAAATAAAATTGAATGACCAAAGTACACAATTCTGCAGTATTGATATTTATGATGACTTGACTTTTTCACATCAAAATTGTTTGCATGCTGATCTAACACTGAGGAATTATTCAGTTATTAAAAACAACATAATAATTTAAAATAAAATATTCTGTCTAATTAGATCAGTAAGTGTTGCTTCCAGGTAGTGGCCTTCATTCATAGCATAAAAGTCAAATCCAAAATCAGCATTTCAGCACACTTGCCATGTTAAGTCTTAAGCCAACCATAGCTAGTGAGCGCAGAGCTAATGCTAAAGCTAATTTGCTGAATCATGCTCAAAACTTCTTCAAATAATTATTTTTCCTTTTCAATAATTTTGTCAGTAATAAGCTTCCATAAATTCCTCATCTTCATCAAATCAGAGATATTTGTCACTTTAGTGGACAGTGTAAACATTGCTTAGCCATGACAGAGGTCAATCTCAGACTTCAAATGCTTTTATGTATATCAGACTCTGTATTTCCACATTCAGGACAATGACAGTAATATAAATTGTCACCACTGTTTATCCAATTATTCTTAATGATGGACCCAACAGCAATACAAAGTTGACACACATTTGCACAGAGGAAAACATACTCTTGTGCATTATGAAGATTTAAAAACCTTAAGTCAGTCTTAATGATGTTAGCGGTCACTGGTGCCTAAAAGAGTTAAATATGTAATAGGTAGATTATCTCACTCAGGGATCTGAAATGTCAGAAAAACAAACAAACCAAACCAAACCAGTGATCAGTGCATAAGCTAATTCAAGGCCCCAAATTTGAAGCAAGTCCCATAAAAACAAACATCCTTTGAAAAAATGTCCTCTCCTTCAATAAATAAACCACGAAAATAAGACACAAATGAATTTAAATAAATAAATAGATAAATAAATAAATAAATATACTTATGTACAAAAAAGAGATTCAGAACAACCTCTGAAATGAGCCAACGCAGACCAACTAAAAACATGCATGGTCTGCCGTGTCCGTACAGTACACACCCAGTCCATTTCAGTGTGTCAGCGATCAGCTAGAGGCAACAAGCCACATTTTATGCGCTGCTGCAGATGCATTTGGCACAACCTAATACTGGCTGACACTGATCCAATCCTATCAGTTGGCAGTCAGCACATCCGAGGACACGCAAGAGGCAAAAAGCAGCACAGCGGCTCACTGTTGGGCTCATTCATTTCCTTTTAATATCAGATGATCGCAGGAAAGAAACACGACTACTGGCTTTAAACTTATTTGTTTTTCCTTTGAAACATCAATAATTTATGTTAAATAAATACTTTGGTTTTTAGGGAAATTTACTATTTTTCCTTCTTACCCATAGTCATACAAACTTTCAGATGCCTTTCTGTATCAGTTTAGCAGTACAAATGCATGTTGAGTGCAAAGCTTAGCCTAGCTTAGCTCAGTTAATTGATGCTTATGGGAATCTATCTTACCATTCACCTTAACTCTTCTTCCATGTAAGTCTATAAGTGACTAACCTGTTTGTTTACAACCTGTCTGATGATCTGGCAGTAGCTTTCCCAGATCTTAGCTACTAGCTTTGTGGATACACTGTATTAATAATAGTATTACTGATAAAATGAATCAACAAGGGAATTAAGGGGGTCGCAAGATAATTTCCGGGGGTGACCAAATGGTTGTGAAGATTAAAATAAAATAACATATTCTGGAAAGCTGCGTGGATAGAGAAAGGGACAAGAATGTATTATATACATTATATACTATACTAGGCCCAGTTACCCCATGATAATGTATTTCTTTCTATCATTGTTCTTTTAGGCCTAAAGCAGACTGTTGACTGTTGACTGTGCAATTATTTCAGTAAATCTAAAAAAAATTAAAGCTTCGTATGTCTCAATGATCAATGTATGCTTCTAACCATGCATGGGTTGCTTTCCTACCGACTTGCCCAACAAAACAGGACTAAACATGTCCTAAAGGCTACTGCAAAATGCTGTTCACTATAAAGAGAAAACACTCGCCAAGACACACATTGTTACATCAAATGTATCCCATCAGAAGAGTCAACAAGTAACAGGTTGAGTAGCAACAAATGGGAGAATCTTTCGCTTGTCTTTAGCTCACATTTGTACTTACAAAGCCCAGTTTTCCTTAGTTTCATATAAACTTACTTCTTAGTTTGCTGTGATAATGTAAATGGCAATTGTAATGTCACTTTTAATTCAAACATGTAGTGCACTTACTCCAGCTAACAATTAATCAATTAATTGAGCTAAGCTAGGCTAAATATGATTTCAAACATAAACATAAAAAGGCCGTTCCTGAGTTTCTCTGACTCTGGTTTAGCAAGAAAATTTGTAAATTTCCCACAAACTAAATCATCTCTTAAAAACTTCCACATTTACCTGACTCCTGAGTTCCTGGCCTGTAGGACACTGTAAGAACTGCTCTAATATTAAATACTGAAATCTCCTGGTCTCCCTTTTTTACCTTTGAGGTAACCTCACCTTACCAAAGTGGGTCACACAATGCATTTGCAGCTTCAGGACCACACAAGTTCAAATTCAACACTAAACATTATGTGTTTCTATTAGCATTTAAAAGATGGAAAAAAGAGTTTATTTCCAAAATCAGCTGTACCCCCAATTTGGACAAAACTACCTCACCGATAGAAAGGTTGCTTGCAAACCTCCCTCTGCTATTATTATTAAAGTTATTTATTAGTTTGAGTCCAGAAATATCAAGTCATCACTTCCAGTTTAAGCCCCACAGTCGCCTTGCGTTTTATCCTCCGCAGAAGCTCTCAGGCATTAAATGCTTTATGTGCACTCTGCTCTCAATGTGACCGACTGCTTGTTGCACTGCCTCAGCGACACATTTCCCTTTTTAAAAACACAACATTCACAGTTTACAACAACGCAGCTTCCAGATCTGTAAATTATATCATCAAAAATGAAGAAGAGCGGGGAAAAAATGTGAAACAATGAGCCAATCAACTCCAACACTGTAAACTGTTGTTTCTCAATTTTTTTAAGACACAGAAATGGAAAAAGGTGGGGTCATCCCAAAAAGACGGGAACTGGTGAGTCCATGACGCACACTCCACACACAGAGGAAGGGAGAAAAAGAGAGAAGTTCCATCCTTGTCATTCACTTCCTGGACTGCGTGTTTAGTTCTTTCTGGTTCCTGTTTTTCCAGCTGGCATATGGTGTCTCCCTCTAAACAAGAGAAAATGTAGCTTGATACCTTCTGAGAAAAAGAATAACAGCAGTTATATTATACAGAGTGATGAAAATTGAAACGTCAGTACTCGTGGTCTTGAGGACTTACATTTGTTTCACTAACCATATACAGTATGTGTGTGAGTGTGTTTACAGTGTATGAGCGCATGTGTGAGTTCCACCATTTCAGCTCAAACACGAAAGTCTTTATTTCCCTTTTTCAGAATTCCGCTCCTGGATCTGCACGTGTCGCTCCCTTCGGTATCCATTCAGAAGAAAATCATCAAAGTCTTTAGAGAAGCTCTCCTCTGTAAACAAAAACCTTTCATTCTGAAGAAGAAACTTGCTGTCAGACAAGACGTCACACCAAGCTCTTCACTCCAGCATCTTCTTCAATTAAAACTCGAATGCCATCCCATCATCCTCTGGGTCTGGCATGTACCATCATCTGCCTTCCTGCCTCTTTGTTCACCTGTGGGTCAGTCTTGCTCAATGGGGTGTGGAGGAAGATGGGCGGGGTTGGGGGCTGGACAGGTAATGAGGAATGTGTGGTACAGTAGGAGCAGTTCAGTCTCCTGGCTAGCATTTGAGAAAAAAGTGAGGAAGAGTAAGGAGGAGAAAGGTAGAAGTATGGCGATCGGTTGGTCGGTCAGTTGGTCGGTGGGATAGGTCAGTGGTCTTACTCGATGACCATGCAGTGGGGCAGGTGCTGGGAGTAGTATTTGAAGAGCTCGGCGGTGGCTCCAGGGCAGTTAGTCAGCTCCAGCTCCTCCAACTCCTGTAGCTGAATGAGGCCAGACAGACCCGTGGTGGTCAGTAGGGGGCAGCCTGGATGGGGGGGGCACAGCAGTGGAATAGGTAAGATGGATGCTGATTCGGCCAAAAGGTTAGACAGTTTATCTACTACAACAATTATTTTCTTGATTAATCAATTAATGTTAATGTGAAATATAAAGAATATCCTAAAGCCCAAAATGACATTATCAGCCCCTTTGTTACAGCCTGTTCAAGGCGGGAAAGGTACAAATGGGGACAGAAGACAGAATGGGGGATTGGCGTTTTTTCTGCTTACAGCCGGCAGTGGAGGTAGTAAGAGAGCCGAAGTGACGTCTATGTAAAAAGAGTGATGCTACGTGTCCACAGGATCAGTCATTTCTATGCATTGCGCCACCATTGTTTGGTCCAGCAAAGCGAACGCAAAGAGAGCGTAATGCCGGTCATTCTTTACTGCACTGTTGGAGGTTCTCTCATGGGTCTTGTTTTGTCACATCATCACAACAGTCGAAAACAAAGAAAGATATTCAATTTAACTTCATGGCAATTTGTCACATAAGTCAAACAAAAGCAGCAAATCCTCACAACTTTAAGAAAACGTTTGGCATTTTGTTTAAGAGATAACGATTAATTGATTTTCAAGAGTTCATGAGATGTCGTCTGTGCAAAATTGATGACTTTTGGTCAACTAGGGCAGTGATCCCAAACCAGGAGTATGTGCAGTTCTGCAGTTGCCAGGGGGTAAGATTGTGGAGTAACTCAACTAATTTTACAAAATAGAAATTACTATTTAATAAAAACATATATCAACATATTGAGTGAGCTGTAACACATGCAGCTGGTGTTACAATTGAGAGGGCCTTAAAACTAGTTAGTGATACGCAGAGAGGTCTAAATAGTTAGCTGAAAGTAATGGATAAAGGATTGAAATAGCAAAAAAATTGATAAATGGCTAAAAAGTAAGTAACTGTACAGTTCAACTGTATGAAAAATATTTTCTAATATTATCCACTTTTATATAGTCAATAGTGTCAAATAACTTAAAATAAGTGAACACATTTGGCTGGTGGTTGAGGAAGGGGTACTGATTTCATCTGACAGGATAGTGGGTATATGTGTCTGAAAAAAAGTCTGTAAACCACTATAATACTACTGTATTTTTTCAGTGGAGCGGGCACTAGATGGCACTATAGGGCTCTACAACAGAGAACAGGTAAGTGTTAACATCCACTTAAATACAGTGTAGTATGGTTCAGCTGTTGAATTGTACAAAGAGCACATTTATTGAACAGCCGTAAGATTTGATGAACAAACCACAATATAAAACAAGTGGGCTTTTGTGTTTAATAACCACTGATTAAATTCATTCATAATGTTTTCATGCTGCCACATTTTCTGTTAAATTATATCTTTGTTGCTCAGGTCCTCGATAGCTAGATAGATCTGAATACAGTGAAGAACTATGGTGAGTGCAGTGGATGAATTTCAAGTCACATCAGTTACTGAAACACAAAATAAAATGTACACACACTATTATATACACTATCTTATCTTCTTATGTTTGCTTCTTTACTTACGATGTATAACTCATTTCCCAGGTTTTATATTTTAAAGATGCATGTTGAAAGCTGCGTTTCAGTGTGGTTAGAATAGAATTGTTTTAAAAGTGAGGACTTTCTGTGGAGAAAGATGGACAGATAAATCATACCTGCAAGAGACAGTAGACGAAGACTCCTCATTCCAAACAAATGCTGCAGTCCAAAATCTTGTACCTGCAACCAAGTGCACGCGCACACACACACACACGTATTCCAATTAAACTCCAATAGATCATTTTAGCTGTGCAACTGACAAGTAAAAGGGCAATTGTTTGTATCATTTAATAAATCAATAAATAATCAATAAGTCAATAAAATAATAAAGTCCATAAATCAATATTCACATTAAATCATTAAAGTTGATTTCCTTGTAGTTATCCAATTTTTACTTGTCCATTAACAAATGCTGCGAAGGTTTGTAAAACCAGTACCAAAAAGTTACTTTCCCAACCAACTAGTACAAATGGCAAAAACACAGACAAGAACAATGACAGTTCAACGTATGAAAAATATTTTTAAATATTATTCACCTTTTAAAATATAGTCAAGTAGGTGTCAAAATTAAACATGCCATTTAAAAAATAATTCAGATGAATACATCCCTGGAACATGACTGGTGTGTTGATGAGGGGTACTTGAGTTTATCCTGACAGAACTGTGGTGGGAAGTTGGGAACTACTGAAAGTAGCAGACAATGAAACAAAAAAAACATCCAACACTGAAATTATGTCATGTTACATTCATTTGTGCATGGGATATATACAGTTCAGACTTTTCTTATGCTTGAACTTGCAATACTACTCAACAATCCTAGATGGGATAACTCTGATGGATTATACAAACATACTGTAGAACAAGTTACAGAAGAGTGTGTTAAAGTCCCAAAAATCAAAAACTTACAATAGTATGGAGATGGATGGAGACCAGCAGTGACTTATTTTGCTATTCCCCTTTTTTTTTTTAAAAAGAAAAAAGCCTAACTAAAAGTTGGAGTGATTTAAGGTTTGCGCTACAGCAGAAATGTCCAATAAAGGTTCAGCGCCTGTCAAGTAATGTAATCAGCTAACTTCCATTGTGATGCTGTTTATTGAAATTGTAATTTCTTGGCTAGTAGTTTTTTTTAAAATAATGTTCATTAACAAAATGCCAAGTTGTTTTTCCTTGTTGCTACAATAATACAATAGCATATAACATTATCATCACATTAAAATATCCAGTGTGGGATTTTTACAAATGCTAAACCATCTTCCTCCAACTTTAATTATATCTTTGTGTTTTGTTTACATGACAACACGCAACGCAAGATAAGCGAGGCTCCTTAATGATGACAATGGTGGGACAAGTTAGCCCCAAAGCCAGTGTCTGTGACCGCCACACACCTAAAAGTAGACATAATACCACAACAATACACTTGAAGTAAACCATGACCCTTGTTCACACACTCTTTAAATAGACTTGGTAATGATAATAAAATATATATTTATATATATAATACTATATATTATACCAACTAATACAAATATATATTATATACGTTTGTCAATAAGTTGGTAGCATATAATCCTCAATATTAATGTACACGCAATTTTTATAACTACTGTAAGACATATTACAGCAGGCTGTGAGAGAGAACTCGTGAGATCACAACAAATGTTGTATATCAACTTGTATAATAAGCCCGCTTTCTAAGTCTTTCCCAACCAACCCCTCAAAGAGCCGGAGTGGGGGGTGTAACACTAATTAATTTTATATAGACTATCTGATAGTATCAATACACTGTAACTAGTTTATT